AGACAATCTATGCGTGACATTTACCTTTAACCAGCTTTTCACAGTCGAACGGGCAATTTCTTTGCCTTGTAAAACAAAAACAATTTTAAAAGTGCAATACCATTTCTTAAAAACTGTCTGCTTTATTTATGACTATCATATTTTTATCAGCAGTAAAAGGAAAGCTGTGTATAATAAAGAAAAGAGAAACATGCTTCAAATAAACAGACTTTCTTTTTGGTTTAGTACCACAAATACCAGTATACTTTTGTTTAAGATCACAGGATTGATCTTTAAATTCTGTTACTGCTTATCACTAAAATGGAATATTATATAGAAATCTGTACTTAATTACTATAATGGAAAACCAACCAAATGTTGTATGACAAAATGCAGATGGTCAATTTAAAATAAGTGACTGCCTTAGGAAAATATTTTTATAGCACTAACACCAATCCTCAGTGTGTACAAAACTAAAAAACAAAGAAGTAGTTCAGGTGGGGAGCTACGTCAGGATGCGTAGGCTGCAAAGGAACAAGTGATAGCTTTATTCCATGCTGAAAAGAGAAGAAGGAAAACACAATGTTTCGGCCATGGAGCCTTCTTCGGGATACCTGAAGATACCTGTGCTATTTTATTATAAAGCACAGTCAGTCCATTTTATTTCTCAGGACTGGACAGCTGCCTGTTAAAAGCTCTCCTTGACCAGGTCACCATGATTTCAGGCTCTTACTGTTGACACACGAAATAATGAGTGCACCTGACACGCAACACGATTTTATGTTTTCTTTTGTAGATATGTACAAGATTGACCTTATCATTTCACTTCCAAAATCTAGAGACTGATTTTATTTTTGAGAAATAGTGCCCCCTGGCGGACACTTAGTTTAACTCTTGCTTTAAAATAAATCCAGAAAACGTTTTGACTCCCCAATAGCTGATGCCATTATGTGCTTTGTATAAATATTTACGAATTTCAAAATTAATAAGCTTCATTAAGCACATGACTACTTCTCAAATCATATAAATAAATGCAAAATCTACATCTCTTTATTCATTCTATACTACTCCTCACATTTTGTGTACAGGGCTGAGGAAATACAATTTTACAACATGAGTAGTATTTTAAAAATTCTTAAATATATTTTTTGGCTTTACTAAGAAATTCTTGACTGCATTATAATGAACCTACAACTGACTTTAAGCCTGAAAACCTTTGGAAAGACCTCTAAAAACCTAGTGTAAGTAAAATGTAATTGCAATATGAAAATTAAATGTATTTCTTCAAATCTATAATGTCAGTTTGCATTAATGAAGTCTATCCACAACCTTCTCTGAGGTCTTTTACCAGCTGAACTGCAAATAACCAATTTATAACCAGCTTAGTCCTTATTGTTTGAAGAAGTGTGTAGATGTCTAAAAGTTCATCTGTCTGTACAGTAAGGGACTTGTGAGCTACTCAGCAGTCTGAAGGTCATAATTTTAGAGTTCACCCCTTGATATACAGCTGTCAAGTTAATAAATAAAAACCTTACAAGCACAGATGCTAAATTAACAGAAAACAACAACTTCCAGCTAAGCTTATT